GAGCATTTTTTTTACATTAAATATATATAGATTAATGTAAAAATTGATATTAATTGTATTAAATGTATATAGAGTAATGTAAAAGTTGATATTAATTTTAGTGTTCAGATGAATTTAATTAAATAGTTAACAAATTAAATGTTGATTTTTATTTTTTTAATACAAATTATGATGAAAAGGTGTATGAGTACTGATGCAGCGGACGAAAACACGGGATGAAAATGAGGGACGACAAATGATGTAAGGGGGTCAAATTGGTAATTGCACTACATACATAAATCTTGCATCACTTGTCGTCCCCTATTTTCATCCTGCGTTTTCGTCCGCTAAATCATTACTCAAAGGTGTATTTATACACATTTAGAGCACAAATTAGATAAACCCTTTTTAAAATTGTGTGGTGAGCTGAATCATGTGATTCCTTTAATTAATTCTCCTAACCCCATTTGGAAATGATTTGTCTAATTTGAGAAACATATTAATGGTGTAGTTATTATATTTTTTTATATTAATTAATATTAAAAAGTATAAAAATTATCTTTAATTTTAGGAGAAATTACACTTAACTTATCTGTGATTTAAGATGAGTGCATTTAAAGGTCTATGGTATCAAAATGTGCACTTAAAAACCTATGTTTTAAAATAAAAGCAGCAAGAGACTTTTGCCATTAAAACTTAACAAAACATTCTATCTTAATTCCTCTAACACCCTTCCTACCTAACACCACTGTCTTGCTCGGCACTAAAAGTTAAATTGTAGTTGGTTTGACTCATTAAAACCATTTATAGTCTCATCATTTCTTGGCGACTCATTACCATCCATCTATTAAAATACATTAAAAAAATGATAATAATTAATTCATTCATTTTAATTAGTTACATTCAAACCACTTGGTAATTCAATTGAAAAAAATAATAATTTTCACATATATAAAATATTTATAATTAGCATGTACTGTTGAAACTAATTAAAAGTAAATATGCATAAAATCAAGAATATATTATTTATAATTGCATATGACCAAGGTAAAGCCTTTCAATTTTCAAATGAAATCATTACTTTTTGAATCCAAACCAATCAACAAAATTTCCAACCGAACACAAAAATGTCAATAAAAGAAAATTAAAAATAAAGTTTCCCTTTGCAAAATAAACTACAATAGATTAAAAGATTTTGTTTGATTACTTATGGAGAGTTATTTTGTTTGGTTTTTCATCTTTACTTGAGTCAATCTTTAAAGATTGTTATAACAGAGAGTTTGTGCAATGGATGACCTTTTTATTTTTATTTTTTAGATTAAGGGTATTTAAAATATTGCACATAATTTTAACATCATTTAGATGTCAAAAGTGGTTTAGTGTTTAAGATTTAAAACACAAGTTTTTAAGTGTACATTTCGATACCACAAGTCATTAAATACACTTATCTTAAACCACAAGTAGATTATGTGTAATTTTCCCTTAATTTTATTATGAATTTTTCTAT